TACACTGAAAAAATGAAGCTGGATAATTTTCTTGCACCATATGCAAAAAATATTTTAAAGAAAATACTTAGCCATAAAAAATATATCTAATAAATTTTTATGACTGTTTTCTTAGACATGGCATTGAATGCATGAGCAACCAAAAGAAGAACAAAAAAATTTAACTACACTAAACTTCAAGTATTTTGCACATCTAATAAAACATTTATTAGAGGGACAATGTCCCCAATAACTGAATGATGATTTTGAAAATTACATGTGTTAAGAGTTAATATTGAGAATACATAAACAACTTCTAGAACTGGACAACAATAATTTCATAATTTGATTCAGAAATGAACAAATGACTAAACTGAATTTTCATCAAAAGGTATACAGGTCAGGCACTGTGGCTCATGCCTGTAATCCCAACACTTTGGGAGGTCGAGGGGATGGATCTATGAGATCAAGAGATGGAGATCATTCTGGCCAACATGATGAAACCCTGTCTCTACTAAAAATACAAATATTATATCCAGGCATGGTGGTACATGCTTGTAATCCCAGCTACTTGAGAGGCTTAGGCAGGAAAATCACTTGAACCCAGGAGGCGGAGGTTGAGGTGAGTTGAGATCATGACATTGCACTGTAACTCTGGGCAACAAGAGTGAAACTTCATCTCAAGAAAAACAAACAAACAAAAAATACAAATATTAGCTGGGCATGGTGGAACACACCTGTAGTCCCAACTACTCAGGAGGCTGAGGCAGAAAGAATCACTTGAACCTGGAGGCAGAAGTTGCAGTGAGCCAAGATAGAGCCATTGCACTCCAGCCTGGTGACAGAGCAAGAGATATTGTGTGTGTGTGTGTGTGTGTGTGTGTGTGTGTGTGTGTGTGTATCTACACACACACAAATGGGAAAAAGCATTTCAAAGTTTGCACAAACATTAATGTGCAGAAAAATGCAAAACAAAATCACAATGCGAAACTAAATTACCTTACACAAATTAGAAGTCAGTATTATATTTTTAACAACACAAAATTTATTGATGATGTAAATAAATTAAAGCCTATGTAAATTGTTAATAGAAAAAAAGCATGCAGCTATCATGAAAAATATTGTTTGTTGAATAATTAAAAATAAAATTATCACATAATACAGCAATTCCGTTTATGAATCTGTCTCCAAATTATACAACACAGAACCCTGGAAACAAATTTGAACATAAATGTTTGTTGTAGCAATATTCGCAAAAGCCAAATGGCTGAACCAACCCAGATATTTCTTTCTTTTTTTGGTGGGTGGGGAGGGAGGCTATCATTTATTACTCTTCTTTTCTTTTTTTTTCTTAATTTTTTTATTGCATTTTAGGTTTGGGGGTACATGTGAAGAACATGCAAGATTGTTGCATAGGTACACACATGCAGTGTGATGTGCTGCTTCCTCCCCATCACTTGTATCTGGCATTTCTCCCAATGCTATCTCTCCCCAACTCCCCACCCCCCACTGTCCCTCCCCTACTTCCCCCCCGGCAGACCCCAGTGTGTGATGCTCCCCTGCCTGTGTCCATGTGTTCTCATTGTTCAACACCATTTATGAGTGAGAACATGTGGTGTTTGATTTTCTGTTCTTGTGTCAGTTTGCTGAGAATTATGGTTTCCAGGTTCATCCATGTCCCTACAAAGGACACGAACTCATTATTTTTGATAGCTGCATAATATTCCATGGTGTATATATGCCACATTTTCCCTGTCCAGTCTATCATCGATGGGCATTTGGGTTGGTTAGAGGCCTTGGCTATTGTAAACAGTGCTGCAATGACCATTCATGTGCATGTGTTTTTATAGTAGAATGATTTATAATCCTTTGGATATATACCCAGTAATGGGATTGCTGGGTCAAATGGAATTTCTATTTCTAGGTCCTTGAGGAATCGTCACACTGTCTTCCACAATGGTTGAACTAATTTACACTCCCACCAACAGTGTAAAAGTGTCCCTATTTCTCCACATCCTCTCCAGTATCTGTTGTCTCCAGATTTTTTAATGATCACCATTCTAACTGGTGTGAGGTGGTATCTCAATGTAGTTTTGATTTGCATTTCTCTAATGACCAGTGATGATGAGCATTTTTTCATATGTTTGTTGGCCTCATGTATGTCTTCTTTTGTAAAGTGTCTGTTCATGTCCTTTGCACACTTTTGAACGGGCTTGTTTGTTTTTTTTCTTGTAAATCTGTTTTAGTTCTTTGTAGATTCTGGATATCAGCCCTTTGTCAGATGGGTAGATTGCAAAAATTTTTTCCCATTCTGTTGATTGCCGATTCACCCTAATGACTGTTTCTTTTGCTGTGCAGAAGCTGTGGAGTTTGAATAGGTTCCATTTGTCTATTTTGGCTTTTGTTGCCAAGATGTTTCTTGATTAATGAACATATCAAAAAATGTGACATACACGTACAAAAAATATTACTCAGCTTTTAGAAGTCTTGTGATATTCTAAGATAAACTATGAGAATATCATGCCTGTTGAAATACGCTGGTAACAAAATGATGGATACTATTGAACTCAAGTTATATGAAATATCTTAAGTAGTCACACTCATAGAAACAGAAAGTGGGCTGAGGGTGGTGACACGTGCCTGTAATCCCAGCTACTTGGGAGGCTGAGGAAGAAGAATCACTTGAACTTGGGACTTACAGATATCAGCAAAACACTTCACTTATGTTTAACTGTTTATTATAAAACATACAACAGAGAAACAGTCAAATGCAAGAGATGAATAGGACAAAGGAAAAAGGTGAAAAAAGAGAGCACATAGATAATCCTGTTAAATAGCTGTGATTAATAAGATTCTCCATCCCTTGGGTTCTCCAGGAAGAGCTTCATGGAAAGAAACACTTCTCATTATGTCTTAGACATACTCTATTTTCTTATCACACAGCCAGACACTGACTCTAAAAATTTCTGTTTCCCAAAACATCAGCTGAATAATTTGTCTTCAGTGGTTGAAACCAAATACTTCATCTTCTTCTACTTTTTTTTTTTTTTTTTTAGAAATAGAGTCTTGCTTTGTTGCCTAGGCTGGAGTGCAGTGGTGCAATCTCAACTCACTGCAACCACTGTCTCCCGGGTTTAAGTGATTCTCCCTGCTAAGCCTCCAGCGTAACTGGGACTACAGGTGTGCGCCACCACACCCAGCTAATTTTTGTATTTTTAGTAGAGACAGGGTTTTACCATATAAGTCAGGATGGTCTCAATCTCTTTACCTCCTGATCTGCCTGCCTCAGCCTCCCAAAGTGCAGGTATTACAGATGTAAGTCACCACGCCCAGCCCCAAAACCAAATATTTCTTAACCAAACTTTTCTTAAGTTTCCCTCCTTCCTCAGGGCTCCTGAACTTTGAGCTACCCTCAGTCTGAGCCAACATACAACACAATTTTCTGTCTCTCTTAAGAACATGCTGACTTCAGGGAAAAACATTCTCTGATCTAGAATCTAAATTTGCCCCCTTCTATTTTATTATTCTTCTCTCACCTTCTTTCTAATCACCTTTACAGTTCTTGTAAATGAAAGTTTTTGTTTGTCTAAACTTTGAGATCCTTAATTATCTTATACTTTGTACTTTTTCCTGTTTTTGTTTGTTTGTTTGTTTGTTTTTGAGACAGAGTCTTGCTATGTCGCCCAGCCTGGAGTGCAGTGGCGCAATCTCCACTCACTGCAACCTCAGCCTCCCAGGTGCAAGCAATTCTCCTGCTTCAGCCTTTCGAGTAGCTGAATTCACCTGCCACCACGCTTGGCTAATTTTTGTTGTTGCTGTTTTTAGTAGAGATGAGGTTTCACCATGATGGCTGATGATCCGCCCACCTTGGCCTCCCAAAGTGCTGGGATTACACGCGTTAGCCACCATGCCCAGCCAATAACAATTATTTCTAAATTTTTGATTTTTTGACCTTCCTGGCTGTGGATCCTTTAAGTGGTGATGTGGTTTGTCTCTGTGTTCCCACCCAAAATGCGTCTTGAATTGTAATTCCCATTTGTCATTGAAGAAACCTGTACCAGATGGGCAAATTTTCTTCATTCTGTTCTTGTGATAGTAAGTTCCCATGAGATCTAAGGGTTTAAAAGTGTGACACTTCTGCCCTCGTTCTCTCTTACACCACCATGTAAGAAGTGCCTTGCTTCCTTTTTACCTTCTCCCATGATTGGAAGTATCTTGAAGACTCCTCAGCGATGCAGAACTGAGAGTTAATTAAACATTTCTTTAAATAAATTGCCTATTCTCAGGTAGTTTTTATAGCACTGTGAAAACAGACTAATAGAATTGGGCAGCCAGCCCCACACGGTGGCTCATGCCTGTAATCTCAACACTTTGGGAGGCAGAGGCAGGTGGATCATGAGGTCGGAGTTCAAGACCAGCCTCTTGACCAACATGGTGAAACCCCATCTCTATTAAAATATATATATTATATATATGAAAAGAATACATTTGCAAAAACTGATGCACAAAAATCACAATGTAGTATTATAAAAGCAGAACAATGTAAAGATAACTTTCTGTGTGTCAGCATAGAAATCATACACCTTAGCAAGATAGTAGGTTAAACATAAGCTTATGATTATCAGGAAGAACATATTGGGCTCACAGCTAAAGAGGGAACAGGATATGATACAGGACAACCAGACTGACCACAAAAACTGCAAGAGGTGGGGGCCTCCATGCAGGCCTGGAGGAGCAGTGGGAGAAGAAAGACTTTTACAACCTTATCTCAACCACAGAGATGGACACCCCTCATGCATCCATTTATAGGCTCTCCGTAAGGGTTGCATTCCCCTTCCAGGGCCCTAATCAATATGCCTTTCCTGGGAAAGGAATCCAGGTAATAAACCTCTCTATTACACATCCATTTATAGGCTATCTGCAAGGAGAAACCTGAGACTCATTATTATCTCTCTTTTACTTTATAGCTCACATACCTTCATGACCACACCACTCAATTAGCTGCCCTAGAACTCTGAGGTCTTGGAAAGTGACACGTTTACAATAGAAATTGGATTCCTTCTAGATTTGGGACTATATAGCACTATTTAACATTGAAAGTTATTTCCCTTTAAAAATTACAGAAGCAGACCAGGCATAGTGGCTCACACCTGTAATCCAAGTGCTTTGGGAGTCTGAGGCAGGCAGATAACTTGAAGTGAAGAGATTGAGACCAGCCTGGCCAACATGGTAAAAACCCGTCTCTACTAAACATACAAAAATTAGCTGGGTGTAGTGGTGCATGCCTGTAATTCCAGTTACTTAGGAGGCTGAGGTGGGAGAATTGCTGGAAACCAGGAGGCAGAGGTTGCACTGAGCTGAGATAGTTACACTGCACTCCAGCCTGGAAGACAGTGTGAGACTCTCAAAAAAAAAAAAAAAAAAAGGAAGAAGAAGAAGCATGAAGTGCTTCACACCTGTAATCCTGGCACTTTGGGAGGCTGTGACAAGGGAATCACTTGAGCTGAAGAGTTCAAGGGTAACCTGTGCAACATGATGAGACACTGTTTACACACACACACACACACACACACACACACACACGGACACACACAAAATAAATAAATAAACCAGCTGGGCATGGCAGCGCATGCCTGTAATCCCAGCTTCTCAAGGTGAGACTGAAAGATTACTTGACTTCAAGAGGTTGAGGCCGCAGTGAGCTGGGATCAGTCATATTGCTGCACTTTAGCGTGGGTGACAGAGTGAAACCCTGTCTTTAAAAATATTGCAGAAGCATTTTGAAAGCACATGAAATAATGTGGGAAAATGGCTGAGGGATGAGTTTATAAAGTCAAAGCCCAACAACATATTATTTATTTTTTATCATAAAAAAATTTAAAACAGTTAAAAAAAGAGAGAGAGAAATTAAATTTAGCAGAGTTTAATTGAGCAAAGAGTAATTTGCTAATCTAGCAGCTTTTGAATCCAGAGTAGGCTCAACGAGACTCCAGCACGGCCACACGTTGGAAGATGTATGGACAGAGAAAGCAAAGTGACATACAGAAGCTGGGATGAAACATAGAAACAGCCAGATTGGTGACAGCTCAGATTTTTGTATTTTATTTTATTTATTTATTTAAAAAGTTAGAGAAATTAAACAGCCAGGTTGATGACAGCTCAGATTTTATTTTTTTTATTAAAAATGAGAAACTATACAGCCAGATTGACGGCAGCTCAGATTTTTTTATTTTTTTTTTATTTAAAAAGTTAGAGAAATTAAATTTAGCAGAATTTAATTCAGCAAAGAGTAATTAGCTCATAGAGACTCCAGCATGGCCACACATTGGAAGATGTATGGACAGAAAAAGCAAAGTGACATACAGAAACTGGGATGAAGCACAGAAACAGCCAGATTGATGACAGCTCAGAGTCTTTTTATTTGAATATAGTTTGAATAGTTGAATTCATTTGATTGGCAAAAAATGATTAGTACAAGAATGTTTATAGTCTGTTTACACATTCATTTAGGTTTTAGTTTACTGTGTACAAAAAATACTAACAGTAATTAAACTTAAAACGAGGTAGCTTAGGCTAAACTTAATTTAACAATTTTCCTATTTCAGTCATTCTAAAGTATCCATGTCTGAGAAAGACCAAAATTTTAGACATTGATATCAGACTATAACTAGGATAAATGTACTTGTTCCATCTCAAATTCCACTGGGAAACAGCAGAACTGTGGGTTTTGTAAAACAGATGAAAGAACTTCAGGTTATTTTTTTAAAAATAAAAATTAGAGCAGAGAAGACCTTTTTGTGTTAAAATCTGCTGTTTACCAAAAAACAAAAAGGAAAAAACCTGGTTGTTTTTAGAATCTACCTATTTTCTCAAATTTTCAGTTCGATTATGGCACATTCAGCATGAGTGACCCTTTTGTTTTTGTTTTTCTTTTTGTTTTTTGAGATGATGTCTTGCTCTGTTGCCAGGCTGGAGTGCAGTGGCACAATTTCAGCTCACTTCACCCTTCTCCTCCCTGGTTCAAGCAATTTTCCTGCCTCAGCCTCCAGAGAGTAGCTGGGACTACAGGCACATGCCATCACACCCACCTAGTTTTTGTATTTTTAGTAGAGGCGGGGTTTCATCATGTTGGGCAGGATGGTCTCGATCTTTTGACCTTATGATCTGCCTGCATTGACCTCCCAAAGCGCTGGGATTACAGGCATGAGTCATCGTGCCTGGCCTTTTTGTTTTGTTTTGTCTGCTCTGTTGTACACTGTGCCTAATGTACAAGCTCAGTTCAAAATAATGGCTTTCAGTAATTTTGCTTAAAAATTATTCTAGCCGCCGGCTCATGTGACCGTCTCTGGGCCAGTGCGAACCATGGCTGGCTTGGTGGATTTCCAGAATAAGGAAGGGCTGAAGTCCTTTTTGGAGAGCATGGAGGTAGAGTGCAACTACCATTCCTACCACAAGAAGGATCCGGACAGTTGCTATCATCTGGTGGACTACTTGGAAGGGATCCAGAAGAATTTTGATGAGGCTGCCAAGGTGTTGAAGTTTAACTGTGAAGACAACCAGCACAGCAATAGCTGCTACAAACTGGGGATCTACTATGTGACTGGAAAAGGTGGTCTGACCCAGGACCTGAAAGCTGCCGCCAGTTGCTTTTTGATAGCGTGTGAGAAGCCTGGAAAGAAGTCTTTAGCGGCATGTCACAACATTGCTTGCCTGGCACATGATGGATGGGTTAATGAGGATGGCCAGCCTGACCTGGGGAAGGCCAGGAACTACTACACAAGGGCCTGTGATGCTGGTTATGCCTCCAGCTGCTTCAACCTCAGTGCCATGTTCCCGCAGGGTGCCCCGGCTTTCCCAAGGACATGGACCTGGAATGTAAATACTCCATGAAAGCCTGTGACCTGGGTCATTTCTGGGCCTGTGCCAAATGCCAGTTGCATGTACAAGCTGGGGGATGGCATCGAAAAGGTTGAGGCCAAGGCTGAGATGCTAAAAATTTGAGCCGAGCAGCTACACAAAGAACAGCAGAAAAGTGTCCAATTCTTAACATTTGGCTGAGACAGGAGAATCTCTTGAACCTGGGAGGCGGAGTTTGCGGTGAGCAGAAGTCACACCACTGAACTCCAGCCAGGGAGACAGACTGAGACTCTGTTTCAAAAAAAAAAAATTCTATTTTTAGTTAAGTACTAACCGGTGAAAGTGTAACCAAAATTCAAATCACTAGTGCCAATCACAGTTATTATTTTTCATTTCTATACTTATCATGTCATTTACAGCTATGGTGTCCTTATAGTCTTTGAGTTTTTGTCATTTCAGTTGAAGAAAAATTTGAAATTCTAGAGATTACTGTCTGCAAACATTTATAACTTTTAAGAGAATATATTGTATCAGCAAGACCATTATTTTCACTATCAGGAAGATAGTACCAAGAGTTTGGAGTATGCTTTTATTTTATTTTCTTTAGAAGACAAAGTTTTTCTCCCTTCCTCAGGCTGGAGTGCAGTGGTACAATCTTGGGTCACTGCAACCTCTACCTTCTGGATTCAAGTGGTTCTCCTGCCTCAGCCTCCCCAGTAGCTGTGATTACACGTGCACGCCACCAAGACCCGCTAATTTTTTTTTGTATTTTTAGTAGAGACGTTTTTTCATCATGTTGGCCAGGCTGGTCTCAAACTCCCGACCCCAAGTGATCTGCCTGCCTCAGCCTCCCAGACTGGGAGGCTGGGATTCCAGGCATGAGCCACCAGGCCTGGTTGGAGTATACTTTTTAACCAGGGCCCCCATGAACTAAACCAACTAAAATAAAATAGATCACAATAATTACCTAGATAAATGGTTTGCTCATTTCAATCAAGCAGTCTGTTCTTTAATCTACAACTGTAATACCTGATATATTACAAAAAGTGTTAGCAACTAAACAGATACCTCTCTTTATCCAATAAATAATCTAAAGAAATTAAATTATTTAGCACAACTTTAATAAGAGAATTTAAATTTGCTGGGCACAGTGGCTCATGCCTGTAATCCCAGCACTCTGGGAGGCCAAGATGGGTAGATCATGAGGTCAGAAGTTCCAGACCAGCCTGGCCAACATGGCAAAACTCTTTATTTACTAAAAATACAAAAAACTTAGCCAGGCATGGTGGCAGCTGCCTGTAATCCCAGCTACTGGGGAGGCTGAGGCAGGAAAATTGATTGAACCCAGGAAACAGAGTTTGCAGTGAGCCAGGATCACACCATTGCACTCCAGTCTTGGTGACAGAGTGAGATTCCGTCTCAAAAAAAAAAAAAAAAAAAAAGAGGATTTAAATTCTGTTTTGTATCCATAGCCTTTACTGTAAAATCTGCTATAGAGCCTATTATGGGAAATAAATTTCTAATTATTGTCTAATTTACACTAAACCATGAGAAAAGAGACCTAACAAGTCATGCCCACTCAGAATAGTCAAAGCTTCCTGGCAATGCTGTTTAAAAAATTCTCCTTACTTGTGCAATGAAACAATTGTGGTGCTCATCCAAATGGACTGTTGAGTTTTTATAGAAGTTAAAGAAGAAAACATCTCATAGCTCATGTGCCGGCATTATTGTAATCATTTTGAATGTGTTTCCTTCTATTTTAATCCCAAATTGTAAATAATCTACAACTTTTGAAAATACTGTTTTTTTTAAAAAAATTTTCTGAGTAAATCGTTAGACAAAGTGAAAAAAAAAAAAAAAAATTCTCCTTACTTTATAAACTAGTTTAAGAACAGTGGGCCAATGTTCTGTTTCTTATATTATGAGACAATGAATCTCATTAAAATTTCTCATCCACATTTTTTTCTTCATCTTTCATTTATCAAAACATAAGTTTATCCATATATAAGGTTGGCTGCAAAATGCTCTAAATATGCAAGTATACCCCCAAATTAACACAAGATAACCCTTTTTTATTTCTATTTTTATAGAGCCATAAGGAAGAAAATAACTGTAAGATAGGAGTGTCACAGAAGCAGAGGTATCTTGATCTTTTATCTAGTGAAAAAAGCTGTCCACGTCAAGATTACCATTTGCTTCTGAGGGGAAATCATCCTGGTTGGCTTTGCCTTAAGTTCTCCAATGGCTATAAAATTCTGAAAGTTTGGAGGCACGCTTCTGAGTTGAGAAATTATAAATCCAAGGTTCAATGTCCTGAAGTCTTGCTTCAGGGTGTATGGCAAGGGAAGGATCAATTGGTGGTTTTTACACAATAAAATGTTTAATTGCCCTCAGTCAGTGGATCAGCAAAAGATTTCTTTACCTGGTAAAAATGAGCTTTGGTATAATGCAGTAAAGTCTTGCTGCATTTAGTCATATCAGATTTTGGTAACTGAAGATACATGCAGTTCTATTATTAGGTGCATAGGCCTTCCAATGACATTTTTTTTTTTACTCTAAGTGGATCTGACGGTCATTAATCTGAAATTGGAACAGCAATCCAATCAATTCGATTAGATTTGCTTAGTACTATTGTATCTTTGATAACTTACTTAACAGTTTTAAAACTTCTCTAGTAAAATAAGAATTTTTATCATTGGAGATTTTTTCAGAAATGTCCCATTAGAAAAACATATTTTCTAATATCTTTTTAGCTATTTTCATAACATCAGCCTTCTTGCATGAGAAAGCATTTATACAACTAGAAAACTTATGTTAAAATGACAGTTGAATAAAATTTCTGCAAAAATGCTTATCAGGTAGCATAAACGTACCTGAAGTTTTGGCTGTCTTTTCAGGATAGTATGTTTGGTGAACAAAACATTGGTCATAAAATATTTTAGTAATTTAAATAGTCACCACACACACACACACACACACTTAATTTACATTTAATTTAGATTAGTTTCTCTCTTCTGTGTTGAGTAGTAAAATGTAGAGTTTTTAATAATGAAAGCTATAAGAATTCAGGAAAGACCAAGTGACTCTCTAGGTTTTACATGAGCCCACACTTAACATTGGATTTATTTCTTCTTTGATTGATCGATTAATTGATTGATTGAGATGGAGTCTTACTCTATGGCCCAGTCTTTACTCTGAAAAGTGCAGTGGCACAATCTCAGCTCACTGCAATTTCTGCTTTCTGGGTTAAAACCATTCTCCTGCCTCAGCCTCTGGAGTAGCTTAGATTACAGGCCTGAGCCATCATGCCCAGCTAATTTTTGTATTTTTAGAAGAGATGGGGTTTCACCATGTTGGTCAGGCTGGTCTTAAACTCCTGACCTCAAGTGATCTCCCTGCCTTAGCCTCCCAAAGTGCTGGAATTGCATGCGTGAACCACTTTACCAGGCCAGAATTTCTGTCCTCTTACATACTAAGTTTGTTTCTTCAATTTAGGTGCATAGCCCTAATAACTAATGGGTGATCATACATAGGTAATTATACTTGGACTATACAGATTATTAAAATTGCATATCTAAAGAATTTCAGTACTGGTTGATTTTGCATAAAAATATGGCAAAGTATTTTTTTGGCATTTAATTAATGTTTGTTTCTCCTGGGCTAGCAGTTTTATAAGAGTCAGTCTCTTCATTAAGTTTCTGAGAGTTCTCACCCAGTCCAAACAATATAATTCTAAAATGATCAGAAATTTGCATGCAACTTGTCTGGGCAATTTTCATCCTTTTCTTGAACCTCCTTGGAGACACAGTACTCCAGGATTTTGTGTGCTTATGAAGTTTTTAGAGACTGCATTAGAATTAACCCATTAACTGTGGAAATGTCTTTAAATGGTTATAAAGGCACAATCGGCAAAAAAAATTATTTATATCTACAGCCTACAATAATTTATCATAAAAATTATAATTATGGGTCTGGTGCAGTGGCTTCTGCCTGTAATCTCAGCACTTTGAGAGAACCCAGCCTGGTGGATCACCTGAGGTCAGGAGCTTGAGACCAGGCTGACCAACATGGCAAAACTTTGTCTCTACTAAAAATATAAAAATTAGCTGGGTGTGGTAGTGGACGCCTGTAATCCCAGCTACTTGGGAGACTGAGGCAGGTGAATCACTTGACTCCGGGAGGTGGAGGTGGCAGTGAGCTGAGATCGTGCCACCAGCCTGGGAAACAGACAAAAACTCTGTGTCCAAAAAAAAAAAAAAAATTAATTATAATTAATAGCATATACTCAGATGTATTAGAATTTTATAAATCCCATGTAATTTTGAAACACATATAAATTAAATATTTATTATCATATAAGTTAAAGAATGTAAAACATTATTTTTTATTTAACAAATTTATCCATGTAATTTAACATATTAAATAATCTTGTTTATCTTTCTTGGATGTTTCAGGGACCCTCTGTTGTCAAAAACACAATTTTGAAGCTAAAATTGGTTTTGGGAAGCCTGTCAAATATGTCAAAGGTGGGGCCAGGTGCAGTGGTTTACAACCATAATCCCAGCACTTTGGGAGGCTGAGGTGGGCTGATCACTTAAGATCAGGAGCTCGAGACCAGCCTCGCCAACATGGTGAAACCCCGTCTCTACCAAAAATACAAAAAATCGCCTGGCGTGGTGGTGCATGACTGTACTCCCAACTCCTCCAGAGGCTGAGATAGGAGAATCACTTGAACCCAAAAGGCAGAGGTTGCAGTGACCAGAGATCATGCCACTGCACTCCAGCCTGGGTGACAAAGCAAGACTGTCTTAAAAACAAATAAACAAAAAAAAAAAAACTAAAAGCTTACAACAATTGACCAAAATAGGATCACAGGTAATCATAAAATAATAGTTGTTCACACCCCAGTGAGGTGGCTCACACCTGTAATCCCAGCACTTCTGGAGGCCTGAGGTGAGCCCATCACCCCAGGTTGGGAGTTCGCAAACAGCCTGACCAACGTGGAAAAACTCTGTCTTTACGAAAAATACAAAAAATTGCTGGAATGGTGGCACATGCCTGTAATCCCACCTGCACTGGAAGCTGAGGCAGGAGAATCACTTGAACCCAGGAAGCAGAAGTTGCAGTGAGCCAAGATCACACCATTGCACTCCAGCCTGGGCAACAACAAAAGAAAAACTCCATCTCAAAAAAAAAAAAACAACAACAAAAAATCATTCACTTAGCCAAAGTAATAATTTACAAAAATTGTTAAAACAAAATTCTTTTACTTTTTTATAAAAAAGACTTAGTTTTGTAGTCAAAAGGTCTAAAAAATCATGAGTAAAATTATATATCCTCTCTACTTTCTCATTCTTTAAATTTACTCAATAGGTGAACAAAAATATTTTATTGTGTTTACTAATACTACATAAAATTTTTGTTGAAGAGAAAATCAAATTTTACTTTTATATTAATATATTATCAATACTATAATGTATTATCAGTACTAAAGCTAATTTTAATAAAACCTTTTAAATAAATCTATCATCCAAGATCATACCACCTCACACCAGCCTGAGTAACAGAGTGAGACTTCGTCTCAAAAAAAAAAAAAAAAAAACACAATAAAACTATTGAAATTTTTACAAGCTTCCACACATCAACAGTTAATCATTTTAAAGTCCTTATTTTTAAATGCACTCCTTACAGGACAATGTTGTTTATGCGGAACACTTCACTGAAATTTTAAATTACCTTTAGAAATATTTTGCCATTTCTGTAAATGTTTGCTGCTTCTGTGGCAGACCAGGTCTCCAGATTGCTAAAACCAGAGCAGTCAGCCTTCATCAACACCTTACTGTAACTCTGATGAATGCATAAGTTAAGCAATAAAGAACTGGAGAAATGAATGCCTCAGTACAAAGGCTAGAATGTAAAAACAAGTCTATTAATAATTAATTAAAATGATGGAGGCATTCTTGCACACCTTGTACCAGGACCCAGTTTAAATTAAGTAATTGTTTCTAGGCTTTGAAGTCATTTTACAGACCAGACCCTACTTAAAAATTAGAAAGAGTGAAACACTTTAGCTTGTAGATGCACTCCTGCATGTAGCCATATGGTTTGAATGTATATAAGCACTGGAGAAGAAGCCTGTAACTTCTAGTGGGTCTAGTGAGTTATTCTGACTGTGTCCCTGTAGCCAGTTGCAGAAATAAACTCTCTTCTTTCTCAGTTTTTCTGGATCTCATTGTTTAACCATGAGAACAAACAGCCAGGCCCCTCTTTGGTCTGGGAAACCTTCCAGGGCCTAATAGTTATACAAGTAAATGTAGTCATAGCTGAAAGGTAAATTACTCACTTCTTGAAAAATTAAAAATTTTATTTTACCTTGAATTTAACGCCCAAGGGATTCTTTCTGCCCACTTCATAAAGACCACTGGATTGTAATAGAGAAAGTGCTCACTAGACACCAGGCAGCCAGCCTACATGGGTGATAGACTTTGTACTTAAATCATCTCATCGAGGCTGGGCGTGGTGTCTCATGTCTGTAATCCCAGAACTTTTGGGGTGGATCACCTGAGGTCAGGAGTTCAAGACCAGCTTGGCCCACAAGAGGAAATCCCATCTCTACTAAAAATGCAAAAATCAGACGGGTGTGGTTTTCAGTGCCTGTAATCCCAGCTAAATGAATCTGCTTTAGCCCAGGAGGTGGGGTTGCAGTAAGCTGAGATGATTGTTGCATTTTCTCTTTTTGAGACAAAGTTTCATTCTTAACTCCCAGGCTGAAATGTAATGGTGTGATCTAGGCTCACTGCAACCTTCACCACCTGGGTTAAAGTGATTCTCCTGCCTTAGCCTCCTGAGTAGCTGGGATTACAGGTGCCTACCACCATGCCCGGCTGATTTTTGTATTTTTAGTGTAGACAGTGTTTCACATGTTGGCCAGGCTGTTCTCCAACTCCTGACCTCAGGGGATCGACCTGCCTTGGCCTCCCAAAATGTTGAGATTAAAGGCCTAAGCCTGGCCATGAGGGGTCTTTCAAGTGCAGTTTTGATAAGGACTGAGTTGGTCAGGTAACAGGAGCTTTCTGCTGATTAGTTGGAGTGGAGATAAAATTATAGGAGGTCAAAAAAAAATTACAAGGAGTCAAAGCTGCCTTTCTGTAGGTTGAAGAGCTTGTGGGTGGGGCTGCAGGAGCTGGGTTGGTTAGTCTAGGAGAAAGCATCAGGTCGAGTTGGAACCATAGGGATAAGACATGCATAAAACTTGTAGAAATATCTCAAAAGGTCAATTCTAGGTTCTACAGCAGTGACAGTGTGGCAGTAGCAATTGGGGACGTTCCAAATTTTATAACCTCCAGAATAATATCTGGCTTCCTTCAGTTCTGCACCTTGGCAGGACTCAAGCTTCCCTCTCCCCCACCAAGCCCAATGGCTTCCCATTAGCTTTACAAAAGTTGGATTTGTGGCC